AAAAATAAAAGGGTTTTCGGAAGTTTTAGCCCAGAAGTGAGGAAGCGATAGAACTACTCTATAAGTTTCAATAGATACTCTCATATTATTCATCTGAACAGAATATAAACAGCTGAAAACAGAACAATGAATTGTACTCACTCACGTTAAAGAAGTAAAGACTTCATTGACAGGCCCATAAATATTCTGAGGTTATTTCTATCAATAATTTTAGTTGAAATCGGGTTTAGAACTTGAACAATCGACATAATATTGGCATACTGAAGTCGCAGATGCTTATTCATGTGAACTCATGTTTTCCCCCTTTTATCTACATGATAAATTTGAATCTATCTTTTATTAACAACCATTCGTTTAGAAGCAAACTATCACAGCAGTCTACTATATTCAGAGGCCTTGTCTTTATAAATGTTCCCGAATTATAGCAAAAATGTCGATATATTTCTTGTGAAAAATTACAGATGTATCATAATAGAAAGATCAATATAACTGCTTGAAAATAAAACGATATATCAAGGCAGATCCATTTGAAATACGGAATAAAACTGTTCACAGATGAACGCAAATCTAACAATACTAGTATCTTTTTATCATACAATCCAAGTTTTAGAAGTTTCCATTAGTTCCACAAACATGCCAACATGAACAAACATATTAAGCGTTCATAATGCCAATTTAATGTTGTCAGCTTATTGATTACAATATCTGAATCCAGCAAATCAGACCCTTTATAATTGGTGTATCATTTATAACATTCCATGGTTCCGGATCCGTGTAAGGTTCTAACTAATACACTACCTGTCGCCTTTTACATGGGGATTAGCGCAATCAAGATAACTAATCTGGACAAATAGCTGAGAAAATACATAATATCAATTCACTGATTTCTGATAAATTACACAATCAAGAAAAGGGAGAGTAAATATAGTGGTTCCAAGCACCTTGCTGATGGTGGGTTAATGTGCCGTAATTACCTGGACGGCTCCAGAAGGATCTCTAATCAGCGTGCTTCTGTGTATGACTGGAAGCGGTTGTCAGGATTCGCAGGAGTTTATTGCTCACATAATGTTGTTCCAAAACCCCTCCGCGATAACACGGTGATCCATAATGCTAATGTTAGCTGTGGGCTGACTGTTGTTTATTGAGCCGCTATCATTATTTCTGGTTTAATAAAGCCATCACGGAGGTACCCCAGCAAGAAGTGACCAGTTAACAAAAGGGATTCGGGTGTATTTAATGCTGTGTATCGAAATTACATTGCTCATCTAACTTGGCAGTTGTAATAAATTAGTTTTTGCTTTTAAATGGGATTATGTCGCGATATGCTTTTAACAAGGAAATTCGTTGTCAGCGTTAAAAGTTTTCATTAATCTCAGTATTAAGGGTTGAACTTTTCTATCGCTTTAACACGTGTCACGAAGAAAGGTAAAACTTTATCTAGATAACTGGTGATAAATGGATATTAACACCAAACTTTGTTTATAAACATGCTCAATTCCTTGTACATTTCGAATGATTACTAATGTTGAGCTGTTCAACATTTGTTGTAAACTTTCTTCGTGATAATGATGATAAATAGCATAACATATGGGTAAGCAACATAAAAATGCTGCTTGATTGGATGAAAAATAATCACAGTTGATGACAAGGAATTTCATTTTTATTTATTTTGACCTTAATTTAAAAGAATATTAAATTTCAGTGTGAAAGAATACTAATTTCTCATTTACTTATAGCGACATAAGGATGATTTATTAAGTATACCAGAAAAAAAGCCTTTGACAAGTAATGATTCAATTATATGATGACGTCATTAAGACAATTCGATTTTATTTCATCAAGGATGGATAATGTTATTTGCCGGTAACCTAATTCCGATATATCGATTATTGTCAGTGATATCGACGATGCCAAAAAAGGGTAGGCTTGACTCTGTAACATCGATATTCTTACATGATGATGTCATACTTCTTCTATTACGTCGATAACGAATGACTTTATCAAAACATCGATGTCACACAGTTTATCCGATTCTATTACACAAGAAGTGCTACAGTAGTAAAATTAAACGGTATTCAAAGAATACAAGTAAATTTCAAAGATATAAGACTAGTATAAAAGCAGAATTTAGACATTTCACGCTTTATAAACCGCAATGAATTTAATCAAACTGTTTAAAGTGTTTCAATCCAAGTTATATGAGTTCAACGAGGGAAACTTTTAAATTCATTCCTTATAAATTAATTTGTCTACATAAAAAGAAGAAAATAAAACGATTTGTCCTCAAAAATGGCAGTAAAATGTAATATCAAGCTGATTGATATGTTTTTGACGCAAATCATTTTGACGTAAGCAGCCAAGGTTCAATATACAAAAAAAAAAAAACAACTATTAGCGCGCTACAAATAGAATTAGATTGCTGTATATATAGCTGTATATCAATAAAGACATATACGTATAATATATTTAGACTGCATTTCTTTTGAATAACAATATCTACATAAAAATGTCCTTAAATCGAATAAAGTTATTCTAAAACAGAACTACAAATTCTTCAATGAACAACACGTGTATGGGTGAATGGTGTGTTGATTAACAGATAAGTGTTGTTTCTAGACTAAGTTTTTTTTCTTTCAGGTATGCCTGCAGATATAGAACAAAACTTCAGAATCAGCGTTGGGTTATATGATTATGAGTTACCGAGTGAAAATTTTTATCATTATGATCGAATTGTTACAGAGTTGTAAACCAGAGATGTGGGATCGAATTTAAACACTTGATAAATTCAATTATATAATTATTCTAATTTCTTTGTACTGATGATTTGATCTTATGAAAAGTAAATAGTTATATATTTTTTTTGTAATATAAAATGACATTTCACAATATTAAGACTATACATATGTTGTAGAACTATTCAATGATTTTGTATTCATTTGTATAATAAAATTATATTTCATGTAGTATCTGTAGTAATTAACTAGTATATGTATTACTGATTTGATGATACTATGTAACTGTGAAAGACGAATTGAAATTTCGTATTTAAGATAATAAAAAAATCCCCTTTTTGTCAAAAAGTGATTTCTAGTCCAACATTGTAACGCATATTATATGCAAACCTTCATACTAGAAATTGATTTGAACATAATTTTTAGTGAAGATATTTTCAATGGTGATTTAAATGCAGTGATATAAAAAACTTCTAATCTAAATTTCAATATAAAGGCCATAAAAATGATAAGGATTTATGATACAGCCATTACAACTGTAAAGGGGGTGGGGTGGGGGTTAGTCAATAATCTCTTCGTTCCTTAAACAATGGAGGTAAGATGATCGGGGCCACGAAACATTGCTTTAGGGAAATGAGAGGTATGATTTTTTTCTGCACTGAACAAGTAAATAATGCTTGCAAGTATTCTCAAGAGCAAGAAAGCGTTGTTAATGACGTACAATTATAATATTGTTTTCGTTTTAGTAACATGAAACATTGTAAAGAGAAATAACTGCATCATCAGAATACAACATAAGCAATATGAAAAAAACTCATAAATTTACTAGGAAAGAAAGACAACTTCTGATATTTTAATTCAAAATTCAAAAATGGACGGATATTTTACAAGCAATCACATGTAAAAGCGAAAAGTGGGAAGGATAAAAATATCCTCAAAAGTCACTGGAAAAATCGTCATAAGAAGTAAAATAAACTCCCCTTAAAAATTAAAAATGATTTCGTAATTCTAAATCACCGAAATAGCAGAGAAAAAGTTTTACGGGCAGCACAAAAATTAAAAATAATTAAGAATGATCTGACCATTCAAAATGGATAAAAAGGTAGGGAGAATAAAAATCACAGGACGCATCTAAAACTTCCCAAATTCAACAACGATATGATAATTTGAAATCACAGTCAAAATCAGAAAATAATTTTTCCTGAAAAAGCACAATAAAAATCTTCAAAATGATATAATAATTTGATAATTCATAATAACGGGGAAAAACATATATAGAAACAACAATGCACTCAATATTAATAATTATAACAGTAAAATTCATTTGTACTTAAGCTAGGCACTAGATACATGGAATACATAATTTTTCTTCAAAATCATTTGTCAAAAAAATTAAAAAGTTATTAAAGTTTCAATTATTTGATTGACAGTTAGAATAATAGTCACGAATAACCTAACACTAAAGTCAAGCAAGAGAATCTTTTAAAAAAAAAAAAGATAGTGCAATGTATGAAATCATAGGTACACGTACATGAATAGATTAAAATATTTAATATTCTCATCTTACTGAATGGAGTAGGCTTACGTTATCTAATTTCTGATTTTTGGCCAAGGTTTGGTGTTGCTTAGTGTTTGGAATGAATTTCAAATAAAAGTTCAAGGTATAAAGAAATCATTATTACTGTTATTATGTTCATGTAATTCTTGAGGAGTATCTACTAACATTATTCATAAAGAAGTTTCTGAATGAGTCTCAATGGGCGTTTGTTAAAACTAATATGTATTTAAGGCAAATGAATTTGAATATAACACAAAATGGGTTTCTTCGTACACGTGTTTCTATAATACATTGGCTAGACACACATAAGTCACATAAAAGAAGAATGAAGATATAAGTGAGTTCTTTTCATGTCTCATTTCAAAAATAGATATCTCAAAACGTGAAGAATTTATCAGAAATATATACTACTCTATACTAATATTTACATAACGTCTGCATGAAATTTCAGCATAAAGGGATTATCTCAACAACACATTTATACATTATATTATTTTCTTAATGAAAAATCGTATTTAAGTGAAATTATACAGTATCACTTCAATTCTGTTTATATGGTGAGATTATATGTTCATGTAAGAACACACTATAAAGCACTTATAGTAATTTAATACATTTTGTTTTCAAAAATCAATGAAAGAAATGAATTAAAAAAACAGAAAATCGATTTTAAAACACACATCTTTAACAATTAGTTGACACGTGGGTTAAAAATATAATTGACAAAAATAGATATATTATAATCATTTGCCACATTTAAAGAAAATTACAGAATTTATTACTCTTTAAACAAAAACAAAATCCCTTTGATAAAGTCATGAAGTTATGAAAAATAACCCGATTTTTCATAAATTAAAAGACCAGTGGTGTCAAATAGACATGTTTCTAAATTTAGAAGTCTAATAACCTCAGAATTTGATGATCTACTCTTCATCATCTTTGTGTCCTACTTGATTCCTAAAAGTGAAAAAAAGGTTAACTTAGGGCTAGAAGTTCATTGGCATAAGCTTAAATAAACGCATTTGTTTGATATTATGGTATTTGACATTATACATAGTTATGAATCTTTGTGCTTACCTTTTTGTGCGTTTGGTCTTTCCACTCCTAGTGAAATAAAGTTCAACATTAAGACAAGGACCAATGACAAAGCATGTCTATGTTTTAATGATATCAATATTATAGAATTTTAATAAAATAAGTAAGAATAGGCCTTAAGATTTCTTTCTTACTCTGCATCATGTTTATTGTCGTAGACATACTCCACATCTCGCAGGAAATTGGAGAGTTTCGTTCCTATAACTGCCGCCGGAAGTAAGAAGAATATACACCAGCCAATGGAAAACCAGAATCCATTCTTGAAATTTAAGAAATAAATATTTTATTACATTAATTTTAAAGAAAAAAAAGTTTAAGGTTGAATTCTTAAAATACCTCATAATTAGTAAAATTGAATCTATACTACCTGAGGACGCTTCCATATTAATATGACTAGTCATGGCTTTGCTGTTCTTGAGAAAAAGATATTTTAAAGATTTCCCCTTTACATTCCTATGTATAACTTTGATCCCCTGTTGTGGCCCCGCCCTATCTCGGGGGTCATGCTCTGAACAAATTTAAATCCACAGTATGTAATGAAGCTTTCACAAAAGTTTCATCTTTTCTGGCCCAGTAGTTCTAGAGAAGATTTTTAAGATACCACCAAATTTTCACGAATTCTTAATTCTCCCGGACACTCTTCGATCAGAAAAGCTCACTTGAGCCTTCGGCTCAGGTGAACAAAACAAATATTACAGTGTATATGCAATTTTATAGCTATTTTGTCTGCTTAATGTTTATCTTTTGCAATATATACACTTACAAAGGCGTCCACAATGTATTCACAAAGCGATATTTTAATGATAGAGTTGTAGAGATTCCACAGAGGCTGACAGCGACCTATTTCATTGTGTACCTGTTTGAAAATAGAGAGAAACATGATTCATAATGACTTGGTTAATGTAATTAGGGAATCCATCCTTCTATAACATAACCAATTTAGGAGAGCACATAAGAATGTTTTACTTAAGGTATTTCCACCATTACAATTTCATAGGTTCAAAGTAGAAAAAACTGCATTTATTTTCACTGAGAATAGTTTAAATCAGTGAATAATCGCAAAAAATGAATAGGCTGCCAATTTTTTAAAAAGATATAAGACATAGATAAGCAGCGGTATATGTCAGAATAAAAAAAAATAGTTTTAGTAAACAATATTACAAGAATTAAGTAAAAACTGGTTCAAATACATAATTCTGATGATGAGAGGTCAAAAATACTTGTTACTTTATAAAAAATATGTCTGGATTGTGAATATCAGGGAAACCATTTTGCATCAGAAGTACAATAAAGAAATGCCTGAATGAAAATACATAAGGAGTTATTGCCCTTAGCAACATTTCGTAAAGATTAAATAATTAAAAAAAAGAAGAAGATAATTTTCATTTTTAAAAATCTTTTACTTAACAATATTTTTCATTACACCTATTGAAATGCATTCTTCCAAAAGATGTATATCCATTGGGTATAAATTTAAATTAATAAAGTTTTTTTTTCAAAGCCCTATGACATCACAGGAGACTGGAAATACCTTAATAGCATCAATAGTATACAATCATAATGAAAATGCAATGACATAGTAGAAATTTTTACTGCATATGCCATGATACTGTAATAAATAAGAAATCTCGGTTGTTATCGGTCGCAGGAGCGGTTGATCTATTTGTGGTTGTGTTAAAATGTGCACATGGGGTTATGAGACGTTATTTTGCATTGCTTTGATGGAATAATTCCTTATTGATAACATGCATAAAAGTTATGAATAAAAGTTTTAAAAAATGATTAATAATTACTGTGAAATCAAATTTTCGTAGGGATTAATTTGCGTTTTTTTCGAGGTATGAAGAGACCCATGAGTTCATGTCCACCACGAAATGTAAAATATCATATATATAGTGTACATATCTACTCAACAATTCTTCATCGACGAAATCAAATCCCTACGAACCCAAACGTTTTCCTCATACCATCAAAATTAGACCCCAGGAAAATATGTGATTTCAAAAGTCTAAATGGTTGTTATAATGTTTCAATTTGTTTTTCATTTCCCATCAAATATTTATTCCCTTATCTTTTTATAAAAAAAAGTTGTTACATGAACTGCTCCCCAACATGGGCGTGCATAAGATATTTTAACAAAACGTACTAAGTTTCAGGGAATGAATTACAGTGCCTAAAATAATTAATAAATTGTAAAAAAAAAAAAAAAAAAAAAAAAAAAAAAAAAAAAAAGAAAGAGAATTTTGTTTGTAAATACACTACAGTTGCAAATGACACAATGATTTTTTTTTTCTTCTGAACTATACATTTATTGTGATACATATCATCGGCATTATCACGTGACAAAGATTCAGGGTATCAGCACGTGAAGTTTGTATGTCCTTTTTTGTCAGCATTCAGACATTCATAATTAATAATTTTAGACATTTGTTGCATTAGTCTATGAATCAAATAATTTGATAATAATATATATATTCCTTTCCTTTATTTTCATTTCCATGAATTTATTTTGAAATATGGAGATAACGAACAGTATTCAAGCTCATAGTCCAATTAAACAATACAAATCGGGAAAAGAATTAATGTCCTTTTCTAGTAAAATATCCAAATATGAAACAGATGTGTAAGGCTATGTTGTGTCTTATTTCAAATTCACTGGGATATGAACGGAAGTAACTATTGATAATTAATGATACATGTACATCGTCAATATATCTAAATGTCGGCTACAGCAAGCGTTTTCTTCTTCTCATGTAGAAGTATTTGAATAAATTCTGCTTCATATGAATACAAAAATAGGTCTGCCAATAATGGGGCACAAACTGTATCCATGGGAATTCCAACAGATTGTTGGAAGACCTGATCTCCAAAAACTACATAGACATTGTCAATCAGAAACTCGAGCATCTTTTTAATATCAACTTCAGAGTACTTGTGTGTATAATCAGAATGTTTTTTAACCAAATAAATTTGCAAATGACCAAGGACAAGGTAAGTTTATTTACGAGTTCCATTTTTATTGAAAAAGCAGCTGTTTCTGATGTCAAAAAGCCTGAACTTTAATTTATCGTGGGGAATGGTTGTATAAAGTGTTGAAAAATTATGGTAAAATTTTGCGATTTCAAATTAACTAAAAGTTCCCTTAAGTTTTTAAGTATCCACACCTGATTTACACCACTTCTGAAATATCCTATTTTACAATACTTCTGACGTTTTTCCCTCACTGCTGTAAATATTTTAGGGAGAAGTAAAGAAAGAGACTTAGTGGAACAATTACTGGAACCCGCTATGTACATGTATATTTGTTTGTAAGGATTTTATTGAGTTTAGGAATCCAGTATAGGTATGATAATACAAATTCATTTTGATTGTTGGGAATCTTTAAAATATTTTAAAACTGACATATGGTTTTGAAGAGGTTCCTCCTCAGAAAGAGAGCTATGGGTATAAGTTGGATTTCCATTTACTGAATTAAATTCTAGTTCCTCTAAAGTACAACTCAAATAATGAGCCTTACAAGCAAAGACAATGTTGTTACCTGCTTTGTCAGCTGGGACCAGCAGTACATACTGATCGTGTAATCTATCGACATGTAATTCTTGTTTCACTACTGCATTGTGGAAGACAGAAGGATAGATGGTTTTCATATTGCCCCTCGATCGCTTAATGCGAGATTGCAACATCCATCTGATATACTTTAAATCCATTCTGACAATGTGTCAAGGTCTTTTTTTTAATATTTGGTCCATCGTTTGGCATACTCTTCCACAGAATTCATAATACGTATGAAATTATGACGCCAGTTGAAAGATTGGGGTTCCCTAAATTTTGCCCCGTTTATATTTAGTGATTAAGGTCCTCATGATTAACTATATTAACGTCACCAGTAATGACGTGTCCAGCAGGACTATAGTTGTAGGGTGAAGAAGAACATGAACGCGTTGGAAGATTTATTTCAGATGTTCGATATCTAGATACTGTAGAGTTTTTTGTAATGAAAAATTTTGGAAGCAACTGTCGATGTATATTTGTAAAAAATACAAGGTGTGGACTTCAACTTGAAATATGGTGGAATAAAAGACTGGACCCTTTTGTGCTAAAGAATATTACTTACATTAATTGTATCAAGTTTTTGTTGGAATATTGAAGTTTAAGGAACAAACGGGTTGTTTGAGCAGTATTATCTTCCGTGAAACGTGGCGATTTAAAGAGCCTATGATTTGCAATATCCATAATCACAGATCCGAGCCTGTATTCTGTTGTCGAAGAATCCAAATATGGACTTTCCTTGACCTTTACAAATAGACTATTTAAAACTTTCAAAAGGACAGAGTAAAGTTTGGTGCGAATGTGATGAAGGCCTAACTGTTTATTTACATAAGGTAGCAATGAATCAAAGGAAACGTCGTGTGTAATATGTTATTGTAAGACCGATGTCCATGACTACGCTTACGTCACTGTGAACTGTTAAAAAGTTCCATCACTTTCAGATTGCTACACTTTGGGCTTGAAAGATTCCCAACACTATCGACATTGTCATTGCTACCACATGGAAAGGCCGTGCCTAGTTTTCTAATTCAGTATTCTTCTCGTTGTCTACGGAAAGGTGTACTCATTGATGGGCTATTAGTATGATGGTAAATCTTTTCTAGAATTCTAACTTTCATTAACAAAATAGAATGATCAGGTAAATTTAAATGCTTGTAGAGAAGCTGCTGGCCCCCCTTGGTTTGTTTGTTTGTATGTTGTTTAACGTCCCTCTCGAAAATTTTTCACTCATATGGAGACGCCACCACTTGCCGGTGGAGAGCTGCAAATTTTGTCCTATACTCGGCACTTAAGGCCTTTGAGCAGTGATGGATCTTTTTCGTGCCAGCACCTACTGCGACACGGGACCTCGGTTTATACGGTCTCATCCGAAGGACCGGTCTCCACGTCCCACAGTGGGATTCGAACCCGCGACGTAAGGATCAACTCCTTACTTCGCGACTCTAGAGCAGACGCTCTAACCACTGCGCCACGCGGGCGAAGCCCCCCTTGGTAATTTAAAATCTATGCCCCGATATTCTTTTATTAAGTGTACCTTGGTTTCACCAACATAAATAAGCCCACAAAAGGTATAATCTATTCCGTAGACAACATCAGAAGATTTGCAGTTCATATTTTCCCAAGTTTCGGTATAGAAGCTCTGTCCAGTAAGATTACTAGTAAACAAAGAGCTTGTTATCAAAACATCACAAGTTTTACAGTTTTTGACAGAACATTTTGACTAATTTTAAACAAATGATCAGGAAAAAATGCACAGAAAAGTGAGGCAAAAATACAATTTGCACTAAAAGTGTATAATATGCTTTTTCTTCTTTGATTTTTTTTCTTTGGACACTTCTGAGAAAATACTTAAAAATGCTTAATAATTTTTTTGCGGCCAATTTGATGCTTTGCATCTTAGATTATGGTTAATCTATTTGTTGTCTTTAAAAAATGCATGGATAGCACACACAGTCATCTAAAAAGTCACTTTCACTTGAAATGAAGTGTTATCCAGCTTATAGGGTGAGATTCTATTTTTCTGCATTTGATTGTTATTTTTATTATTTAATTTATGCAAACTCTGACATTATATTAGGTGTAATAAATACGTTTACTTACCTTGTTTTTGACATCTTTGAAATATATATCAGCGATGTTTACTGTTTCATTAATAAATGATTGTGCAATCTACAAATCATTAAAAATTGAATTACATATACATAATTTTACATTTCGATGAATAGATTATATCTTCGTACAACTGATAAATATTTATGAGTATAGTTACATTTTTCATTCCGTCCCTCTTCATAACTGCCGTTGCATTATTAAGTTCCTTTTTTACATTGTCTACAGCAGACTACAAAATAATTTTTGAAACAAGTAGCAACGCTTGCATGAAAATGCTCTAATTTTACATTGACAAACTTTGCATTAAATGTTTTTATCTTTTGATACAAATCATTCATTTTTGATTGGATTCCTGCTTACCGGGATGTTTGATTTTTGTTTGGACAGTTCCACCTTTGCTGTTTTCATGTCTTCCTATGAAATCAACAAAGAGAGTATGTATTTCTGCACTTTAAAGATGTTTTATATTGCAGAAATGGAATGACTCAAAGCTGTTATCAGTTGCAGGTTTAGACAAATTGGATAATAATAATTTACTTTTTATGGCCAATATTTTCATGGTTATTTCTTCACAGGTTTTGATCTGACATACATGTTTTATATTCGAAACTTTTTGATATAATCATGTTAATAATTTCTTAATCGATATAATTACCATTGCCTTTTTCATGTCTTTAAGTTGCGACGTACCCTTCAATAAAAAAAGCCGTATTTATTATTTACCAGGGGTGAAATATAATTTCTGTTTAAGGATCTCAACAAAAAATTGATAGTTCACATATTTATCTGACTCCATAAGCTAACACGCGTGTAATCTGCTAGAGTATTGTCCTGTCATAGTCTCATGGACATTTAGTCTAGCGTCTAGTAATATGTTATTTATCCAAACTGAACACAGATATTACGTTTCTCTTTTATAATTAAGGTTATCGTTATATAATGATAAAATTTATGTCAAAGAACATCTTATAAATAAATTTGCAGTTTTTTAATCATTAGACATCCCGTAGAGCCAATGTAAAGCACACATACCGAATTAGAAATTTCCAAAGTTGAGACTAGATTTTCCATGTTTTTCAGCTAAAAAAGGATAAAATATTGCAAATGTATTTCATTGTTATTATCTATTTGTGTATAATAATATTTTTTGTTGTGACTAGTAATAGTTTGAAACCTAAAGCCAAACAAAACAAGAGATGTTTGTGAATGACTTACCCCCCCCCCCCCCCCTAAAAAAAATAATTGGAATCTTTCTAAGTCCAAGGAGCATAACTCTGTCAAAAATGGCTCGATCGTATTCAAAACAAAACTGGATCTAGATATTTTTATGATAAATCTGTATACCAAATTTTATTTCAGTATGTGCAACCTTCTGCAAGAAAATGAATAGAAACTTCAAATTTATAATAGACCTTTTTAATAATATATGCAGACATGCGCAGAAGTACTTCCGAGTGGAAAAATCACGACTCGTTCTGTGCAACATTCTACGCTTCATTTTCGTCAAAAGTGTTTTATAAACATCGTCGTATATTTTTGTTGAATTGATATTTACTTATTAAACTGAATAAAATTGGTTTGAAATATGTTTTATTTTATTTATTTCAATTCATGTACGAGTGACAAACATTTCCTGTTTATCGTTACCTTGTTTACATTGGCAACGAGTTACAACAGTATGGCGACCCGCGAAAACTTAAAGAAAACAAACGTAAGTGTTTTGCGTAGCATAGCAGCTGATCTGGGGATAAATTCAAAGAGAAAGAAGGATGATCTTATATGTGACATACTATCTAGTCAAACACCAGCAGCTTTAATAACTCCAGTTGTGCAATTGTCATCTTGCATTAATCCAACTGACGTGCAGTTTAAGGAAAACTTGCCCCCTTTCAATGCAGTCCATTATCAGTCAATATCGGAGGATCTTAAACCTCCGAGTATATCATTCTCTATGGTATATGAATTCATGATAACAAGGCGAAGGCAGGAAGGTGATCAATGCATCCAAAACTTCAAGGGTTTAGACAAGTCCGTGAAGCATTTTGATGCCGGGGATGTCCAGAATATGTGTATTGCACGAGTAAGTTAATAATATTATGCAAACCTAGTCTTTATAAAGAAATTTTAACTACAGACATTTATGAATTACATATAGATGTTTCTAGGTCAGTTAAGATAAATATTCAGCACTTTGAGAGAGAGTGTATTTGACAAACACACATACATAGCTGATTTATTCTAATCTAATGCATGGCCGTAGGAACCGGGGGAGGGGGGTTGCTCCCACAATGATTTTGCCAATACATAGAATATATAGAAAACATAGCTACTACATGCTTGTGCCCCCTCAATAAAAACGTCTGATGACAATTTTTTTTTTTTGCTTGTCAAGGAATTTTTGGTAGTTGATAGTGTCCCCCATTTAAAAATGTATGGCTGTGCCCCCCCCCCCCAAACTGAAATTGCTTCCTACCGGCCTGTGACGAAATGATGAGATCATTTGATTCTGAGAAGGAAAAATTTTGGAAATATTTCTTACATATGAAAATTTCCAAAAAATAATTTGTCCTCCACTGTTAAGGAAATACCTTGATTGATACAACACTTTGTCCTGTAAAGGCATAAAAAAATAACCTTTGGCTAATTGAACACTTGAAACCCCCCCCCCCCCGATTACATGGCTATCCTTATGTAAACATTGGAAATACATAATACACATGTTATTAAATAGTTTTGAAATTTGATTTCATTTAAATGAACTAATTCATTTTCTGATTTGTTCTGAATACAAGCCCTCAGATTGCTTTGATCCCACTGACATATTGGAGTATATAATGAAAAAAAAAATTTAACCATCAATATATCAGTAGAAGCTTCTGTAGACCTGTGGTTCTGACACAAAATTTACATTTTCCATGAGTAATTTACTACCAATATTATGAATTAGAAGAAAAAATTAGGAATTGGAAATAAAGAAAAATGATATCCGTACTCAACTTTCAGAAAGAATCTTGATGTCATTTTTCAAAAAATGACAATATAATTAAAATAAAATTTTTACTAAAATTTCAGATTGATGAATCTACAGTGTACATTAAAGCATTTTGCTTAGCATCAATGAAAAAACAGCGTTACCAGGTTTTTTTGTGCATAAGTAATTCTGATGGAACGAACAGGGTGGACTTTGCTTACTGTCAATGCCCCATAGGGTAAGTATTACACAGTTCTTATCTTCAAAATAACAGATGAAATCCAATTTTTCATTTTATATTATTCTAATAATATGTTGTTATACATGTGTTCATATTTTCTGTAAATTACATATACAGGTTAGCTCAAGCATGCAGTCATATTGGGGGGCTGCTCTTCACCATATGCAATATGCAATCCACTACAAAAGCACCTTTGCAAGGAGAACAGAGTTGTACATCAACACTCTGCCAATGGAAAGTGCCACGAACAATGAACCAGAAACCAAAGCCTATAAGCAACCTTAACCTTTCAAGGCCCAAGGCAATGGCAAGCAGTGATACTGATGATGATGTAGCCAGGTTATCATCACCATCACATGGTTCAGCAATGGCCAGGTTCGACCCTCGTCATTCTGAGGACAAACATCATAGCCTTGCTTGGTCTCTGGATCAACTTGGGGAACTAAGAGCTTGTTTCCCTCATACAGGTTTACAAATATTTGTAAATTGCCTTTTTTAATGTTTTTGAAGTACAAAAAAGAAAATTGAATAAAAAAAAAATATCTCACTGCAATGAAACAAAAATTTTTCTTTTAATATTATAAATAATTTTAAGTAAATATCATACTCAAACTGAAAGCAGTGTATATAATATTATGAGGTAAATACATTAAAAGATACAAATATAATTTTAAATAATTTTTGAATAGGTAAAAGATGTATAATATATCTTAAAATTAAATAAATGATTAGAGGAGTAAAGTATTTAGCATTTTATGCAGTGATTCAATAATAAAATCTTTGTTGTCTAGGTATGGCTCATCTCTGGAATATTCCAGACTCCAATGTACCTAGTTCTGTGGAAGTTGAAGTGGAAGTTGAGACATCTGTGCACCCATTGTACCTGAAAATGGAAAAGATGCTGTTATCAGATGAGAACTGTGAGTTGAAAATAAAATTTTGAATTTTGATCCTATATGTCTAAAACCTAAACATAGACCAATTAGCAAAAATAGAGATAAAATACAATTATAATTATCTCAATCTAATTAGATCTTCCATCCACTCCCCTTTTTATCTATACATTGCTTCCCTGTGATGTTGCAGATGGAAAATTAATTTTAATTAGATTGATTATTAACTGTAATGTATCTTAATAATTTTAATGAATGCATGTATAATTCTACTAACTTTTTTTATTTGTTATAAAATAAAAACATATCTTTTATGTACTCTTTTCTCATTTCCAACAGTACCACCACCTATGATAGATGAAGAGCTAGTGAACTTTATAGAGGAGAAGACAAGAGGACAGAGACTTTGTGAGATGTGGAGAGCTCTCCACCTTGGGAGAATTACAAGTTCTATGTTTGGTGATGTGCTACTAGCAAGAGAAACCCCAGCAAAATCTCTCGTCAATCAGATCTTACATGGATCAAATCTTGACAAGTAATATTCCTTTTGTTTTTTTTGTTTTTTTGTTTTTTTTTTTGCAAATAAATCTTGCATTAATTATTTTTCATAAATGTAAATAGTAATATTACTAAATGTAAACAATCATTACAATGAATGATTGTAGGAATACTGAAAGTGCATTAATGTTACAATAGCTGGAGTTATTTCCCTTATGTACATGTTATTTTGTAATATGAACCTAGTATGTAGATTAGTCAATATATATGTCACAGCTGTATTTTATTTGTTACTCCTTTTTAATAATAATAACAATGAAAACAGCTGTTGGGTTCGATGCATATATTTTTCAATTTCATGGTAAGACTGAAAAGGTGACCTGTAACAATAACAGTAATGAAAATAAATGAATACACTCTCATACCTATACACTCACACATTAAATTACTTTAATATATTTTAACTTTTCCAATGTAATTATCTTTAAGTAGATAATTATTTGATAAGATATTTAATTTATTCAAAGCAACGGTGGTAAAAGTTCTTACCGAATAGGCAGTTAAATTGTCCACATTATAAAATGATAGACTTTGTGGAGTAAGAGAGGAATTCTTCCTTACTCCTGGCTGTCCTAGGGTGGAGTGAATTAGTTAGGGTATTTGGCGCCAAGCATGCGCACACAATACCAAACTAGTAAAACCACTCACACACTTCTCACTCTAAAATATCAACCAATCACACAACTTCAACCCTCACCCATTCTGACACAAACACATTTGACCTTCACACTCCTAAATCCACCAATGAGCATTCAACCCCATGAATATGAATGAGATATTTTATGAATGAACACATAGTAAATTCCAGAGGACTGTAATTTACTATGCTTTATAGATGAAAATGATGATGATGATTAGTGATTAGGTCATTAAATATTCAATCATACATATAATATTTATCAGAAAAATAATTTATTCACCCTGTGACATATATACAGGATACCTTATCCTTTCTATTACTCTTAATTTAAAATATTTCAGATATACAGCACTACCACCACCAGTCCAGTGGGGGATAGATCATGAAGCAGAGGCCAGAAAAGATTACCTTACCATTAAAAGGGCCATAAATGAAAATACAGATGTACATCCTACAGGGATCACCTTGTATTCAACACACTCATTCCTTGGAGCCTCAAGCGATGGGAAGGTAATTGAAAATGGAGACATGGGATTACTGGAAATAAAGTGTCCCTTTTCGATTAAGGGTTACAATATTACCCAGTGCGAAATATCAGAAATCTTGGAACTGAATGATCGACACTTTTGTCTTGAGATGTCATCTTCAGGGCCAACTTTGAGAAAATCTCACAAATTTTATGCACAAGTGCAGGGAGAAATGGCAATCAAGAGTGTACCTTGGGTGGATTTTGTTGTGTGGACTGCAGCTAAAGCAAACAACATTTTTATAGAAAGAGTTCTTTTTGATGAGCAATTTGTTACATCTATGATGCCAAAATTAGTTAAATTTTACATGGAGCAAATTTATCCATTATTATACAAGTGTTGAAATTTCTCTAGTGATGCAATGCAGTTCTTTGAAGCAAAGGCTGTATGAGATTAATGCTGTACGTGTGCATAAATAGGCGTAATCAAAATTTAACGCAATTACTAGGTGAGTTGTTGGCATATTCATGAATTAGCGCTACACTCTTAAGCATTGTATATTGTATTTGTAAATGATTTCTTAGTGGTATTCATAAATTAGCGCATCGTTGTCTGCACCAAAGCCACTTTAAATATAAAGCCTGCTTTTTTAAGAACACATACAGTATTAGATGAATTGACTCTAGTTCTATTGCACTTTATAGTGTATCAGTCTAAGTACACAGCTACAAATTTACAATTATTTATCTGTGGAAATTAAAGTGTTGGATATTTGTGATTATTTTTTAAAAGCAGAAGGTTGAATCAGGGAATAACTATCTTCTAATTTGGTATTTCGCAAATACCAAATTAAAAGATAGTTATTCCCATTCTAATGCAATATATGCATTTTGTTTGATGTTCATGTCTTATTTTGTTGAGTTTTGTTATATAAAATATGTCATAGAGCATTGTGTTTTTGTGTCACTCTATTATGACGCCACAATGAATAGCTTTCATTCTCATTTATGCTCATTTTACTGCCTCAGATGTCAGTGTATTACCCAATCAAAATGTGTTTTACAAAACAATTGCATTAGAATTTTTTTTTATTTGTGAAAATATTCTTGTAGCATAATATGTGATATGAATTGCAAGACGACAGCTCTGATTAAGTATTTTGTATATTGTGTACTGTATTAATTACTAGGAATATTTTAAGTACATAATTACTTAATAATATTCAATATGGAATGAATTCATAAAAATCAAAACAAGAATTTAAATGTCTTACTTAGAGAGTTATGATTCATCAGTGGAAATCTTTTTCCCATCAACAAGCGGATAATCCAGATTGGTCAGCCAACAGCAGACTTGGAAAATCTTCGTGATGAAGTGGACCATTGTAAGGGGGATCACTCCTTCTAAGACATGAAAGTTCTTCACACGCCCAATGCTCCTTTCAACATGAATCCGAAGTTGGGCAATCTCCTGGGTCTTGAAGACTTCATCTGTTGAAAACTGGTTAGAAGTGCCTAGAATACAATATTAAGAAAATTATTTAAGCTAGTTACCATGCAATGTTTTCCTGATTTATCTTTACAAAAAAAAGAAAAGAAACAACAAACAAACAAATCTAACCATTTGCACATAGATTGAGTTGATTGGGTGGGAGGGGGTGAGGTTAAGATCTGGCATTAAAGGACGACTAAAAGATTTTATTTTAACTTAAAATTCTTATCAGCAAAAAGAAATCCTAATTTTTTAACTCTCGTGAGATAAAAATAAACAACAAACAGCTGAATGTTTACAACTTTACACATCATTTAATACCTCGGAATGGTGGAATGTTTAAGGAACATTGTCTTTTTTCAAGTAAGTCAGCTATGGTGAAGCCTTTGTCTGCCATTACACTGTCACTAGGCTCAAGTAACTGAAGTAGGCCACATTCCTCAGTTAGCTGACGGTCTGAAGTTTTTCCTGGCCATGCATCAGAAACAAAAGTAATTACTCCAGATGGACTAATACCGACTAGAAATTTAACAGTAGTATGATGCTTGTAGTTAGAAAATGTTAGGCTTTGATTTATTAGGCTACTTGATGATTGAATGAAAAGTTCTGTACAATCAATAATCACTCTGGTTGATGGATACTTAGATTTAAAGGATTCTGGCATAGTTCTGTTGATAATATCTCTGCTTGGAAATGGGTTTAGAAACTTGAGCTCGGCATGAATTAAACTGATCCAGGTTGTAAAATACATTGAAAATGAAGCACTGCTGATCTGGAATCTCTCTGATATATCCTGCACATAGAGTCCAACTTTCAACCTCATGAGGACAGCAAATAATTGATCAATTGGATGTAAGCAAGATGATGACATTCTCACTCTGTCTGTAGTTGATGTCTGTCCTTCCCCCCTCCAATATGTCATCCTTGAACATTTACTGGAAAGGTAACTGTAATCAATGAAATTACAGAATTAACATTCTGTGATGCTAACTTAAGTTATAGGAATTTTTAAAACCTAAAAATTTAAGCAGTCAATAACATCTGAAATATAATTTAATTTTTGCATAAACAATCACAATACCTCTGAAGAAGGTGAATCAGTTTTTTGATACATGACTGTAATTTTTTCCATTATTTATTATGATCATAACTTGTATAAAGATACATATTTGAAGATAATAAAAAGTTAAGAAAAAATGTCAACACTTGCTTGTACAGCCACAGGAAGATTGTAAAAGAAGGTAGCCCTGTGTAAAAACGTGTCATGCCATCATCATCTTTAATGCGCTCAGCAGACCATTTGTGTTTACGTAGGTCCTCTCGAAGTCTTCTTACTTCCTCTTTAAGGTTTCTGTTTTCTTTCAGGAGGGGGTCTTCTTCACATTGTACACCTTTAAATGTGTTTATATCATCAATAATTTATAGCAAGCAGAATTTTAAAAATTTATTTACATTTTACAAATCTACTGAATATCTTATATTGATATTGAAATTGACATACTAGTATCTTACTAAAAAGATATATATTGCAATTGAAATATTCAGTTAAATAATCAATTCATCCCTGGTGTACCTGCATCACATGTCAGCTTAATGTCAACATCATCTGTTGGTCCATTTTCATCATGATCACTCAGTCTGGTTAAAGCATTTCCCTCTGTACTGTGATCACCTGACTCGTCTGTTGATCTACAGTAGGAGCCATGTGCAAGCAGAGAAAACTCTAAATTAGCACTTTCTCTCTCCCTGTTTATCCTCTCTGAACAAAGTTTTTCCTTGTAAAAAAAAAAGTAGAGCAATAAAAATATTTTATACATGTATATTTATGTATTTTGAAAGAAATTGGGGTAATTTATAAATCCTGTGCAAAATTATATGAATAAATATGTTTTTGATTTAAAAGAAGGTAGCTCTGGGTAAAACGTGTTTTTTTCTTCTTAAATCTGACATCGATCTCTCGTTGTACCTCCTATAAAACTTATGTTTGATTTTTAGGCCGTTTTATTTATAAGATTTCAAAAAATATATTGGTGAAAATCAAAGGTAGATACCTTGGTTGTTTCTCGATCAAGGCGTCTCTGTTCCCTGTTAAAATCTTCTTCCGATCGTTTCTGTTTGTAGGCAAATATTGTTGGGGCATAATTGTCATCGCTCGGTTCATCTCCGTGCCACCCATCAACAAAATGTTGCGAGCAGATCCAGGTATGCTCGTTTGGCGTCCATTTATCCCTATTAACAGCTTTTATCCAGGCTCTTCTTTTTCTTTTGTTCTTGGGAAACCGAAAGAAACTGACACCCTTCGACCGTGATTCTCCATTACACACGTTTCGACACTTGTAAACACAACAAGATTTTACCATTTCCGTTCCTAATGAAAACAAATGAAGCTTTCCACTCGGAAGCGTTTGTGCGCATGTGCGAGTAACTGTCCCGCACTTAAGTTAAAAGACCTTAATTTTCCTAAGTCCAAGGGGCATAACTCTGTCAAACATTGCTCGATCGTACCCAAAACAGAACTTGACCTAGATAATTTTATGATAAATCTGTATACCAAATTTCATTTCAGTATGTGCAACCTCTGCGAAGAAAACGAACGGAAACAGTTGGTGGACCGACATACATGTACAGACCGATCGACAAACCGACCGACCGACAGACAGCAGCAAAGCAATATGCCCTCCCTTCTTCGAAGGAGGGCATAAAAATCATTAAGGATACTTTTGATGGAATATTGATGCCATTTTGAATCAATTCTTATTAAGCTTGGGCATAAAAACAGAAAAAATGTATTGCAGATTAAAGATTTCCTCTTCACAGTTTCAGAAGTCATAAAGAAGAGTTTTTTTTCGTATTACAATTTAAGGAGATATAATGCACCTTTTAAATTATGCTTAGTGGAAAAGTGGAAATGGTTACATAACCATAACATCATCAGTCACATAAAATATCCATAATTTACCGAAATATTTTATGTAAACCCAGTCTCTGAATTAAAGTTACAATTTATCTAATCAAAATACTTTCGACCATTAGATTATCCGGAGAAATATTAGACTTGATAAAGTAAACTAATTTTATTCAAATGAAATAGGTATTTCCCTTCCCTTTGATTATTTTAGGAATGACTCTAATTCTTGGCGAAATTATTCGCGTATAACCTGGTTTGGGTCAGTTTACGCTTTATAATCCGCGAAGCGGATTATAAAACAGCGTAAACTGACCCAAACCAGGTTATACGCGAATAATTTGGCCAAGAATTAGAGTCATTCCTTATAATTTAATTTTAAAATCATTAAATAACTATGGGTGTAAAATTTCGTTGCTTTTTATTAGTTCAAATTTGCCGCTCAATAATACAACCGTAGTAACGGAAGTACCGGAAGTAATGGGAAGCGAGGGGAGGTAAAAACTGATACATAGGCCTAGCAGCCTTGTTGTTTGTTTACATGTGGTAAGATCGAATTATTGTTTGGTACATTCATTAAATCTGGAATTTTCCATGAATCCCGAGGACTGGAATTGAGAGGATTGTATGGATACAGATGATTCAGCTGGTTGTCAGGGGGGTGTGTCCCCATACCAAACCAGGTTATACAGAAATAATTTGTGTTCCTTTTTGGATATTAACCAATCAGAGGTTAGAATACAAACAAAATTAAATTATATGTTGTGCACCAAAATATTTATTCATATACCCTGACGATAGCACTAAAATTTCTCAGTTAATCAACTTTTTATCGGAATATAATCTTACCAAAATAAAATACATTTTTATTTTTAAAAATGAATCCCTTTTTTCATACATCGCTTCATAAAGAAATGCATTAAAGTTAAAAGTTTAACTGTGAGTATTGCAAATCTCTTACAGCTGCATCAAAAACACTTAGATCGAAACTCTGCATCTGACTTTTTACGTTGTCTAAATTTGTCTTCAGGTCTGTAGGCAGTAAATTTGCAGAGCCATATTTTGATGTATTTGTCAGCATATCCCCCATCCCTGAGGATCCCTTGTTTCTCATTTCCTGCATGAATTATAAAGTATGGTTAACAATGAAAGTATGCTTAACAATGAAGTTAAATGTCATCATTTTAAGATAAATATAATTTTGACGATTAGAGTGGTTAGAATTATACACTCATGCCTTGGTTTTTCCATCATAATAAAGGATGAACGTAAAGGGAAATAAAGGACTGAAAGAGAAATAAGGAAATTCACAATCTTTATTTTACTCCTTCAGTTTTATATATATATATATATATATATATATATATATATATATATATATATATATATATATATATATCACAAAAGAAATTCATTTTTTCATTGATACCCACTTCCGCCCCAACCCGGGGTTGAACTCTCGACCTACGGAATCTGTCTCCTAGCAGTACAGGAACAGCGTGCTAGACCGCTCGGTTATCTAGGCAGTGAATTTCTTTGTGCTTTCTATATTAATATTTCTTCACTCAGGGTAGTTATATGTTAGTTAAAGAGTTTGTTGTAAAATGTGCGTTATAAGTAAAATTAATTCATTACATTGTAATGCCCCCTCAATAAAAAACGTCTGATGACCTTTTTTTTTTTTGCTTGTCAAGAAATTTTTGGAGTTGATAGTGCCCCCTCAACTAAAGATGTTTGGTTGTGCCCCCCCCCCCCCCCCCCCGCCAAACTGAAAGTGCTTCCTAGGCCTGCAATGTGTATCGGTAACGATCCTCTAATAAAACTAATGTTCAAATAACTGTATCTAACTTCCATTCTCAATGGCTGAGTAGTGTAGGACAGCGCTGCGAGAATTCCATCGGCATCGGAAGCAAGTTTTATAGACTTGCCTAGATGCCCAAGCACTCTAGCACGCTGTTCCTGCTAGGAGACAGATTCCGTAGGCCGAGAGTTTAAACCCGGGATGGGGCGGAAGTGGGTATCAATGTAAAAGTGAATTTCTTTGTGCTTTCTATATTGATATTTCTTCACTTAGGGCAGTTATATGTGCTATATATATATATATATATATATATATATATATATATATATATATATATATATATATATATATATATATATATATATATATATATATATATATATTAGGGATGGCAATTTGTAACCGGTTAACCGATTAATCGGTCTGAACGATGGTAATCGGTTAGGAAATCTGTAATCGGTTAGTCGAAAAAAATAAAAATATGTGTAAATTTCCTTAAAATTCAGTTTGCAATTTTAAAAAAATCTATGAATGTAGATAAGTTATAACGTTTTTACATATATGTATTTAGATATAATTTATCAGTATTCTTCGGACTGAGGTGTTGGGGTAATTGGTCAATTTGTGCAGTGTTAATTGCCGTTTAAACAAAATGCCGTTACCCAGCTTGTCCTATATTTCTTTAATGATAATAATTAAATCACCGTTGAGTATTGTGAACTGATTACATTGTGTATCTTTTGCAGTTGTCTGCCAAATTATATTTTTATGCAAACATTGTAAATTAAGTAATAGTTTAAAGAGGTTCGTTCCTAAGCTTTTGATAAGATTTTTGTCTTGACCTCTATTTAGTTCTTATAATAAATTTGGATTCTACAATGCAAAATAAAGTATATTCAATTAAAATTCAATTAAAACCCCATGATTTAATTGAGCTATGCGTGTAGATTCTAAAAATATACTTGATAAAAAAAATTCTCAATACTTTTGATAGCAGGATCCAACCTCCTTAAACTTTGTTTTTGTTTATGCTGACAATACAAAATGACCGTATTTAATATTTGGGGGTCGTCAGTAAGCTATCAATGCATTCATACATGTATCTCGTGGATGTTTTATATGGTTTTCCTTTCAAAATTGAATTAAAATACGTACATTGTAAAGTATACAGATCACGCATAAACAGAATATTACTAATGGCGTATTTCTTTTCTTTTTTTAATTTATATGTTAATTTATTAGGAAGGGGGTATCAATAAAATTAATTTTAAAAAACAATGTCCGGAAAAGTGTGTTTTGTTACGATTAACCGGTTAATCGGTCGGAACGTCTTACGGTTAACCGATTGGCAATTCTGTATTCGATTGCCATCCCTAATATATATATATATATATATATATATATATATATATATATATATATATATATATATATATATATAGACTCAAAAATGAAAACATGTCTATTTCAGTAAGGTCAAATTGTGTGTGTTTATTTGTAAATATCATCACTATTCTGTGCAAAAAGATTACAATAGAATAAAGAATGTCCCATGAAAGACGAAACATGATTCCCAGACTATTAAATCACGTTGTCTTGTACACAGGTACTTATGGACAGGACCCCCCCCCCCCCCCCCGAATATTCAACCCCGGGGCTTGTTGGACATTTTTTTCACAAATTATATTTATTGCACTTATTCATCAAGTGTACCATAGGAAAAAAACCGTGAAAGCCCCAAAATAATCGTTCCACACAAAAATACCCCACTATACATTATAAGAGAGAAAGGTATGCCACTCCGGTTTGTTTACGTTGTACCCCCACTGGTCTTTCTGGGTTTAAAAACATGTATTTCTTTTATTTTAACCTAAAATATCGGTTCACACTGTCTCTACATATATTTCTGTCTTAGTTCATGCTATCGGATTAACTCTGCATCTCGTAAGAATCCCACAATTAATCCTTAAACAACATTGCAGTCAGTGCGTTAAAAAATCCTTAGGTAAACCAACGGAAGTGCATAGAGAATATATTACCAATTATGATAACACCCGAGAGAGATTATTACGTCAGGCCAAAACTCTCTCGGACGTTATCGTTCTTGGTGTACTTCCGTTGCTTTTACCTGACCATGGGTTTGAATATTCGGGGGGGTGGGGGGTGGGGGGGGGGGTCCTGTCCTGAATTAGTCTTAGAAGAATTCTAAACAGAATTACAATCTTATGTATATTTTTTAAAAGGTAAATGTTATAAGGATGGAATTTTTAAAAATAAACTGTACTTTCAAAAAACAGAAATAGTGTAGAGAAGTGTAGGAAAACAATATCTTGAATACTTTTAATTATAACGACACACTTACATTTATGATATCCTGCACTTTTTGTTCAAGAGTAGAAAACTTGAAATTAAACAATGTCAAATGTTCTATATCTAATGCCTTGTAGATTGCCTGGTTTTTCTGACAGTTTCTGAAAAAGAACACAAATTTTGTCTTAAGAATTATTTTAAGATCAGTAAGGTAAGTAAAATAAATTGATATTAATGTGAATCTTTCTGTGAAATGCATGCTATTAGAGGGTGAATCTAATATGTAGAAGAAAACCCGAAGAAGGTTTTAAGATCCATTTCATGTCCTTGTTCATGTTTCAAAACACCCTCTAGACTGTATTCAAATCCGTCGATGAGCTTCAAAGATATAAAAAATTATATTTCATTAAAATAAAGACGAATTTTGCAAAAAACATGAAAAACTTGAATGCGTCAGAACATGTTTTTTTTTCAATTCAAGATACTATTAAATATTGGAAGATGAATTATACCCATACTATGTTGGGGAAAAAAATATGAGAATAGATATATTTACTTCGTCTATTAGCTCCAGTTTTGGATCCGTCAGTGGCTGGCAAATGTATCTTTCTAGGAGTGCTCCAGGAATGTAAAGTGTCGTAGTTATTAACATCAGCAGCGGGCAGAAGACAAATATAAAAACTAAAGACCTACAGTCATAAAAAAAGTCTTACAGTATACTTTTTCGAGCAGTGCCCCTTGAAAGGTATTTTGAAAACAAACGGGAAATTGTCATTATTATTTTAGTTAGTTTTGACAAATTAGATGTAAGAAAACTTGAAATTTAAGGAACACTTGCATACATGTATTAAACAATACTGGTTTGATAAAAGTTTACTATATGAAAGTAAGTTTAATTGATATTGAAATTTAGAGTTTTAGAGCAATATCGGCTTATTTTTTTTCCATTGGAGTATGATCTCAATTCACAGTTAATACTGAGGTTAATTGTAAAAACGGATTGTGAAGATAACGATTAAAAGTCATGCTCAAAAGTCCAATTAAACATTAAAAATTGAGAGCAGAGCAAACATGGAATCCTGAAAACACCAGAGGTGGAATCAATGGAGGACTAAACATCCCCTGTCCATTGGTCACACTCGCATAAAAAATGGCCTTACAATTATTTCTATTAAAAACGTCCGTGAACATTTGACCTAACGAAAGGATATTTTTGCAAAAAAGGTTTTTGGATCAGTATTAATTTGGTTGTTATCGTCCCTTCGAGGATTTTTCACTCATTGAAACGCTACCGGTCTTGTCGCACAGTGAATTCGAGCTACGTACTGATAGGATCAACTCCTTACGCCGCGGCTCTAAACAATGCGCCACGCGGGCGACACTATAGAATTTTTGAAATGTTGACTTTAAATGAGAATGTTGCAGTAGTCTGCATAGGTTTAAAAATTGATTATATGCAGAATATGCTCTTATGTGTCGAATCAACTTGGAGACATTAGCATCAAATGCAGGCGGTTATGCTATATTGCTACATAGATAAGGGTAGCTGAAGATCTAAAAGTGAATCCATCACCTTTATCATAAGTTCATTTCTTCCAGAATATTATTGGAAGACTTTGTCTCCGAAGACTACACACATACAGATATTGTCAGTGAGGAACTTCAGCATCTTTTTTACATAAACTTTTGAGTACTTGAATAATATTTAGCAAACTAATTTTGTAGATAACCAAGATATGAAAATTCCCGAGTTTCATTTTTATTAGAAAAAGCAGTATGTTGTCTGTGATGTAAAAAAAAACCTTGATCCTGAATTTATGACAAATATTAAAGTCAACATATTTTGAAAGAATATGAAGTCAGGGCACTACAATATGTTTAACGATGTCACCGAGCCTATTATAAGATGTGTTTACTAACCCTATCATAAGACGTCCTGCGCAGTTAGACACACAGCCTTTCTCCAGAGGGTCATTTACAGACCTCCCTCCACAACACCCACAGCACAATCCACAACAGTAGAGAGCTAGTATAAGGGAGACAACTCCAGCACATCCAATTCCAGCATACCATCTGGTAAGATGTAATTCTTGCATAGCATTTTAATGTATTTACGTTTCCTTTTATAGTCAATACAAGTTAAGAAGTATATATTTCGACAACATGTTTTCTTTAAAAGCTGTAATATATTTTCAACAAATATTCTATATCATATCACAATTGTAAATTCCAATCATCTTACGGCATACTATACCTGTATTTATCATATGGTTTTATAAAATCAGAGTGATCCTTCACCATTTCTTTTGTTCCCTTAATATTAACTGCATCACCCTGAATACATGATACAAATGATATGATTCTTGGTAAAAAAAAACCCGAAGACTTTTGACGGGAATATAAGGCAGCATGTAAAAAATCACAGCAATAAAGTTCGTACTAAGGAGTTCTGATTTTAAGGAACAAGGAAAACAATTAAGGAATCGTTTTCAAAATAAGAAATACATATACTAACATTCATTGAATGTTCTAGTTCTAGTAACCGTAAAACAAAATTTCTGAACAAATATTCAATGAAACAAGCCAAACAGTATTCATATCATCCTTAAAATTATCAATATACTGGTATTTTTTTGTGTTAACTGAGTACACCCGTGTGTTCCCCAACGCAGATAATACTTCCCATCCACGATCTTCATTTGCGTGAAACCAAATCAGGACAATATGAGATGCAAGTAAATTCACGTTTAAAAATTCTTCTCTCGCCTATGAAGCAAAATTTCTGGAATATTTTTCTTTTATTTATTTTCCATTTATCAAATATATTTTGTAATTTATAATTCTACAAATTTAAATATTTTCTTTGTAAATTTCTTTCTATAATCTACCTCGACTCTGTAGACAAGTTGAATGACTTTGCATAACATTGGATGTTCGAATATTAGTTTTATTATTGTAACCTTGCTATTCATTTTGATACTGTTTTTTTCGGCACATGTTTACAAGGCTTTGAACCCTTATCTAAACTGTTTCCTCTTATTATCGTCGATTGTTCTAAAGAATAAGGATTGTAGTAAATGTTCCAATTTATATTTCTCTATGGCATAAACCATAAACTTGGTTCATGTTTTGAACATATTTGGCAGTGCTTGTCTATTCCAGTGACCAAGGTATTTTTCAGAAAAGGGTTTCGGAACATGGACCCCCTTCTGTCGCCCTACCCTAGTCCAGGATGTTGTTTCAAAACATTGTAACTAAATGAAACGGAATTGTTAGACATGAATTAACTCACTGTTAATCTATTGCTCTTAAAAAAATCAAAATTAATAAGAAAAATTGATGCCCCTTTTCTTAATTTGGGAAATGATTAGGAAAACTAGAATCCACACTAGACGAGGAAGCTTTTACAGAGAAAGCAAACATATGAAAGTTAATTCAAACTTTGTGAAACACTGATGCTCCCGTAGGGCAGCTCAAGGCCAAGGGTAAAGATCAAACTCCAAGGTCAAGATAAAGAGTTCAAAAATGTTGGTACACAAAGAAAGGTCTTGTCAAAAGGAATATATGTGCGAAATATGAAAACCCTAGCACCAACCATTCAAAAGTCATGTCCAAGGTTAAAGTTTTTCAAAAGTAGGTCGTACTCAAAGGAGAGGTCTTGTCACGAGAAATACAGAAGTGAAATATTAAAGCCCTACATGTAGCACCAACCCTCCTCAAGTTATAGACAATGCTAAAATTTGAAAAAAAGTAGGTCAAAAGAATGTCTAGTCACAAGAAGTACACATGTGATACTCAATATAGGAAAGCCCTAGTCCAACTATTCAAAAGTTACGGCCAAGGTTCAAGTTTTTCAAAAGTAGGTCAAACCCCAAGGTCAAAGTCAAAAGGTAAAAGATATTAATACCGAAAGAAAGGTCTTGTCACAAGTACATGTAATAAACTTGTGAAATATGAAAGCCCTAGCACCAACCGTTCAAAAGTTATGGGTAAGGTTAAAGTTTTTGTGGACAAATAGTCAAACAGATTAACAGACAAACAGACAGACGGACGGATAGACCAAAAATTATATGCCCCCTAATCTTCGGTTATGGGGGCATAAAAAGCTGTGTAATTTTTAATTTTATATTCTTGCAAACCTGTATGGTTTAAATAATATATGCCTTTTTTCTTCAAAAAAATATCAGTTTTAGTCGGTAGCTAAATAACCGGAGCAATCAAACTTTTATAATATTCATGCCTCAGTAATCGAAGATTCGGGGCATATAGTTTTTACCCTGTCCATCCGTCTGTATCTCTGTCTGTTTGTTTGTTTATTCGCAAAAACTTGTCTATAACTTTTGATTTGTTGGAGCTATGGCTTTCGTATTTCACATGTGTATTTCTTGTGACAAGACATTTCTTTGGGTACAAACATATTTGATTTCCTGACCTTGGAGTTTTACCCACTTTTGAAAAAAACTTTGACTTTTAACAATTTTGAATTTTGAACTTGATCTTGGAGTTTGATCAACTTTTTAAAAACTTTAACCCATTATTTTTTAACAGTTGATGACAAGGCTTTGGCATTCATATTTCACATGTGTATTCCTTGTGACAAGTACCAACAAGTATGACCCTTTGAACTTGGCATTTCACCCACTTTTGAAAAACTTTAACCTTGGCCACAAGTTTTGAATGTTTGGTGCTAGAGCTTTCATATTTCACATGTGTATTTCTTGTGACAAGATCCTTCCTTGGGCACCATTAATTTTGACCTTGACGTTTGACTTATTTTTGAAAAAAAAAACTTTAACCTTCGCCATAACTTGTCAATAGTTAGTGCTAGGGCTTTCATATTTCACAGTATATTTATTGAGACAAGATCTTTCTTTGGGTAACACATCTCTTGATATTGACCTTGGAGTTTAATGTGCATTTGAGAAATTTTAACCTTTGCCATAAGCTCCATGCGGGGACATCAGCGTTTCACAACACATCTTGTGCATTCTGCATTGAATTTACATGTTTTACTATTTGCAAACAGTTTGTAGAAATTATTTATTTAATGCATATATATAACTTAATGCATTCCTAGATAACTATAAAACTGTTATAAAAGTAGAGTTATATTAAAAAGTTTATAAATACATAGAATACCTTTTGTATAGCATTCTTTGTGTTCGTCACCAAGTCGTCGATCTCAGTGTTAGCGTTGTCTAATTGTGTTTTTGCTTGGTTCATTGCTAAAAATCAACGTAATGCTTTAAAATTTCCTTAATTTTGAATGAACTTAATTCCAGTAAAATGCTCCTTTAAAAAAGTTTTATTACTTGCAGTTGATCCACTTAAAGCATTGTCTATTGTTGATTTTATACTCGCTGTGGCCTAAAGTGAAAAAAAAAGTTTGTTGGTCTTTTTTAAAGGCACTTGTCTCTTGTGATAAACAAAACACACATATCTTGAATTGTATAGAAATATATTTAAAATTCATAAAGGATGTAATGATAATCACAGGATAAATAGAAGATTAAAAGTTCCATATTTTTAAAATGATAGTGAAAACAAATTTTGCTTCTTTTATTTTTTATATACCGTCTTCCTGCAAATATACAGGTATTTCAGAAGTAAAAACAATAAAAATTAATACCTTTCCAGCTATATTGATATTTGGAACTGTTGGTAGCGATGGCTGAAAGCGCAAAGAGGAAAATATCCAAATATATCATGTGAATAATCTTTATATTCAATTAAAACTGTATATTTAATTTTGAGTCTTGAAAATATAATGTGAGTAGGGATACTAACCGTAGGCACAGAACATGTTGGTGATAGTGCTTGGCATGCTGTCCGAAATGATTGTGTTCCGCTGTTGATGTTGTTTATGGCAGAAGTTAGATGGTCTATATCTGTGAAATTACAGAACATGAACAGAACTTTAATCAGACAGAATACCGAGTTACAGTTGATGCATGTTATTTTTCTTAAGAAAATGAAGTGAACTTCAGTGCCAAAAATATATATAAAATTAAAGAAGTCAATATAACTGTAAAAATAATGTCCATGTCAGTTAGAATTTATTTTTAATATACATTTATTTAACAACTCTTTAAGAAATTAGTGTTTATTGCGTATGATGTCATCTATCACCTGTCTGGAGATCCTGTACAGCGCCCCCTGTCAAAAGTGATACGGCCTTGTTCTGTAAAGCCTCAGAAAGTTCTATTCATAAATAAAAGAATTTTGATAATTACAAAATTTTAAACTTTATAATTTACAGGAAAAAATAGAAATAAAGGCAAAATTAGAATGAAGTTGGCGATTTCGTCAACAAACCAAAACGTAAACATTGAGTGATAGCGAGCAGAATATTAAACATTCCGTGATGACTAGAATTTCAAACAGATTCCATATGACATAAAAGAGTGGTCGTTCAGCAAGTTTCATCTATTTCTTGTTGAGTGTAATGTCTGGTTAGCAAGTAGCATTCATTATTTTTTCGTTTACCAACTGAACATACGTGATACACGTACATGCATATCTATTTACGTGACAAAATTAATTGAAATTTCGTTGAGAAATTAATTTTTAACAGATATTTAGCAAATTACTTTGAACTTTATGCGGAAAGTCAAAAAATTGAAAATTTACGAACAAAATCACTATAAAGATATGCCTAATTAGAGCGTATAAAACAAATCTTTTTCCTCTTCAATAATTATGCATAAAGGACATAAATAGTAAATCATGAAAAGAGAATTTATTGCTCAATCAAAAGTTATAAAGTTGTAACCAAATAATATTCTCGAACAATATAAGAACACCCCCCCCCCCCCAAAAAAAAGGTAAAATATTTAAAACTAGACCAAAATGTAAAGGACTGTTGCATAATATTCTAGTGATTATTTGCATTATTTCCTAACTTTTGTAATTTTCTGATCTGACAGTCCAGGAAAGTATGCTTTTACTAATTAGATCAAAATGAGAAAAAAATGCTTAAGGATATCCGATCCTCAGCTAGGAATGAAAACCCTTAAATCTATTATTTATTTAAAAAGGTTTCAAAATGAAGCTTGAAATTGAAATATTTTCTTGCAATAATTTTCATTTCATGCATCTCAATATGATTTAAGGTTCTTTGAAGTCTTAGAAATGATATTATAAAAAGTTGACATTTGCACCCTCTACCAATATCAGCCCTCTGGCTTTCGGCCCTCGGGCTGATATATATTGGAGTCTCGGGTTGATATGGGATGTGATACAGATTTTGCCATGTATTATTCTCTATATATTTCTCTTTTAGCTTTGTAGGCAACGGTAAATTAATTAATTATCTAATCATGGCAATTAGCTTATTGAATCATAATATACAAGCAATATTTTAAAAAGTATACTTTTACACCTTTAACTTGACATATTAGGACGTAGTACATGTATAAGATGCTGAAAACTTTTGATAAGTAATAGTAGAAATTCTTAAAACAGTTTGTGCAGGCTTTAGTATATCTAAAACACATACATGTATTTATCACATACTCTTCCTATAAAGCCATCTTCATTTCTGAATCTTTCAAGTTCAACGCAATAATATGAGAAATTGAAATCCTGACTATATCTACTTAATGCATCAATGAATGATCATCATTTTTGTATGGTCACATTTTAGGAAATTCACAAAAAAGAGATCATCATTTATGATGTTTCAGGTACTTTCTTTTACTATACATTCTTATCCACAGAATAAGGATAGGAAAATTTCGTAATACAGTGGCGCCGCGGTAATCCGGACGCCAATAATCCGGACGCTTCACCTTCCGGACGATATTTTTTGGGAACCGAATTTTTCCACGTTATTCTGTCTCATTAATCCGGAAATTCGCGTTCCGGATCCGGACGGTCAATTTCTACTACAAAGCGTAATATTTCATTGAAAAATGACTCGTTTATCCGGACGGTGATTTTTCGAGGAACGACTTATCACACCTTTCTTGCAGTAGTGATAATTATTGTAAAAACATTGTCCGTGCAGTCAGTTTGAAGGCGGTTACCTGTGACCTCTAAACAAAAGCGTCTATAATTAGCGCGTGTTTACCTCAGATAAAACACACGTCTTTTATATTATAAAGCCCGAAGAATTTAGCTAGCCTTATACTGTGCATTAATTAAATATAAATCCGTTCAGAATAGAATAAATTGCGAACGGTATATAAATTTATGAGAATTTTGGAGAGTTGTAAATAAATTTTTTTACTGAATAATAAATCACGAGATTTCGTTGTGGTATTGAGTTGCGTAAGTTTATCAAAATACGATTTTCCAATTCTCAAATTTATTATGATACATTATTCAAGAAAATATATTTCTATTTGATGCACTAAGAAATACGTAACTGGCGTTAGTTATAAATGCCGATCACGTTTTTTTTTTCTAGGTATGTAACTTAGAGTTTATAGACAATCCTGAATATGGCTTGTGTTTACGTTGAATGTTTGCAATACGTACACTGATTACAGTGTTTAACTTACTTCCCTATGTAGTGAATATACGCGGTTAGTCATTTGAACATTCTCAATGGTGATAATTAACAGTCCTTCTTAATATGAGCTTGAATAAATAAAAGAAATGTGCCGAAATAAAACAGTAGCAAATCAAAATTTGGTCAGCCCATGTAACTACTCGTCAAATAGAAGGCAAGTAAAGATTCCTGTGTTAGAAAAGGAAGTCTCAACATAAAACTGCCTATCCATTTTTCATCCTGTAAATTACATTTTAATTCTTTTTCTTTTTTATATATATTTATTATTTCTTTTAAAACTATAAAAATAAAATCAATGTCAAGGTAAAATAAAGGTGTTTTCGTTGCCTTCACATTTGATACCACTATGTTCATATGTACATGCTTTGAGAGGGTACGTCTTTTAAGAAGTGATTCACTTATCCGGACGATTCATTTATCCGGACGATTTTGTTGGGGACAGAGGCGTCCGGATTAACGAGGCACCACTGTAAATATGTTTTTCAGCAAAAATAAAGCCTGTACAGACTATTTTATTTACTTTAGCCTTAAATATAACATTACTTGTTGTGTCCAGTTTTTTGTCGATTTCGTTCTTTGCTGCTTGGAAATTTGTCCGGATTAAATCTATTTGCTGTTGTAAAAAGGGAATAGAATTAATTAACTGAAGTTTCTAAGCAATAAGAAATGAAAATACAAAATCAGAAAAAAATTAAACAACCATGTACCAGAAACTCTTATGCAGTGATCAGTGAAAAAAAAATCTGATTTCCATCTCAAAAAAGATACTGACAATGAAGTTAATGATTATTCTAGGACATTCTGTACCTTTGTTGTGTGGTCCATGAACAACTTTAAGTCGTCAAGATTTGTGTCTACATTGTCTACGATTTCTGTCAGGGCCAACGAAATTCTGTCGTTTGATACATATACGCAGATATTACCAGCTCTACAATACACGTTAAAGAAGCTTTATGATTATTTCAGTGTAAAAAATGTGTAGGAAATGTATTAATTAACTGTTTGTTTTCAACAGTGTCACTGTAAGCCATTCTAAAAACATTTAACTTGATCTGAGATCTAAACTCTTTCAATAAAAGAACCTCATAATTAACATTGTATTGGCTCGTTATAATCACATTTATTCTGTATGCAAAAATAAAACTGCTTTCTCTGTTTTTCATACATAGCAAAAAAATTCCGGAGATTAGCTGTCAAGTTAAAAATATTTACGCCGTAAACGCCACAAAAACGAAGAGGATAGTTCCATAAATAGCTTTTTTGCAGGACACATTAGGGTCTTCTTCCTCTGGTTGTGCACAACACGCCTTGCAACCCAGTCTACAGCAACAGAAACAGCAACCCACGATCGGGAAGATGACAATGAACAAAAGTCCTACAACCACAGAGATGGAGAATCCCAGGAAGTTGTCCCTTACCTAAATAACAAGCAAATATCAAAAGCTAAATTAAACATACAAATATCATTGATATTCTGAATAACCATCATCTATATTGTAACTTTATGAAATTCAAAGATATCTTGAGATAAAGAGAAATGAAATTCATTCAACTTCGTCTTCTATTTTACATACAAAAGTTGTAAAGGAGAGATGATTAAAATATATAGAATCATATGAGGAAACTTACCATGTGGAGAATATCCTCTACATTTTGACCAATATTACCTTTTATAGCATCTTTGATAACTAAAATAAATAAATCAATCAATCAATCAATCAATCATTACTTCCTTAGAATAAATAGTATATAATTTATAAGATTATTCCGACTAGATTTTTTTCTCTTCTTGTTTTTGTTTTTACAAAAAAAATGTGTCCATTGAAGTCAATCTACTTTCAAATTATCACGTAGAAAATGAAAAACTGAATAAATCGATAAAAATTGTTTTGGTGAAAATGAAAAAGGTGGAGATAATGAACAGTGAACGATCTCAAAAAAGCCTACAAACAATACAAATCTGTGAACAGACATAAAACACGGACCCCTGGAAATTTCAGAGATGGGATCAGGTTCCTAGAAGGACTAAGCATCCCCTTTGGACCTTCCACGCCCGCTGTGAGCCATATGTACTAATCTGGTAAGCGGAATATTCCATAGTCGAATTTAGTACTTAAACAAAGGCCTAACTTTTGGTATGAAATATGTCAAAATACGACCCAATGATAGGCTATATTTTAAATTGATGAAACGTCATCGATATATCTGAATGTCGAGTTGAAGGCAACAGCCGGTTTTCTTCCCCTTCTGATGTAGAAGTTTTTGAATAAATGTTTCATATGATTATAAAAACAGGTCGGTTAATAAAGGAATACAATTAGTGCCCATCAGAATTCCAGCAGTTTGTTGGAAGACTATTGTAACAGGTCTTGTCTCTGGAACCATAACATGTTGTTCATGTAGTCTTTCTAATGCTTTTATCACCTTTTGTTTAGTGAAAACGAAAGGATAAATGGTTCACATATTGCCTTTTAACTTTCTAACATGATTCTTAAATGCAATTGTAAAACACTTAATCCATTCTGACCAGGTGTTTATGTCTTCCCCTTCATATTTCTCCCAATGTCTGGCGAAATCTTTGACGGAATTCATATAAGTAATGTAGTTTTACCGCCAATTGAAAGATTGGGGCTCATTGTCTTTTGTACAATTACTTCCGAATAAAAACAAGAACTCTGTTGGTTACAAAAAAATCGGCATTAAATATGTCAAAAGAACAAAAACATACACAAAAGCGGAACATTTACTTCCACAGGGGATGTTTACTCCTCCTAGGCACCTAATCTCATTTCTGCAATTTCCAGGGGTCCGTATTATATGCCCTCTTCACAGAATTGTATTGTTTATAGATTTTTTGAGATCTATCACTGTTCGTTATCTTCACCTTTTTCATTCAGCAATAACAACGACTATCAACACCAACAAGAGCAAAAATTAACAAGTAAATCCTCTATAACCGCGTACAACACATGTAACATGTCAACAAGAGAATAAAGATCTGATCTGATTACTTTTCTTTCAAAATAAAAAAAAGTTTTTTTTTCTTTTGAGACAAAATTTTGAAGAAAGAGTTTCCTTCTAAAGCAAAAACCATTGAGTCATCTTACGAAGAGAAACCTTTAAATTCTTTACGTAGTCAAAATGTGAATTTATCCACTGAACGTAATTTAGGGTAATTATATTCATGATGACCATATTGCAGTACATTGTTCCCATATTAGTTTTGATGAAGCTTTTAGATTTAGTGTTATGAAAATTAATGACTCGTTACTTCCCCTCAAAATGTTATGATCTTTGAGCTGTACATAGACTTGTATCTATGCACTAAATTATAATTCTAACATTTCTTTTTATTGATATTCGTCAAACCCACAAGTTTTCAAACAACATCGTAATCTTTCTTTATTCAGAGATTTTCATTTTATAGATTTTTTTGGTAAGAATGATTGAAAGACCAAACAATTCAACTAAATTCAATCGATTTTTTAAAAAAGAAATATGCTTTGTATCTTAAGTGTATTTCCTAAACAGAACAACAAGAAGAACGTATAAAAGAATTTCGAGCACCTGTTGACGTCATAAATCTATCTGAATGCACATTCCATCACTATCTAGTGTAAAACCAAATTTAATTTCGAGAGCGAAAAATATCAGCGAGTTTCACGAATATATCTATTTTATTTCGAATTTATTGTGTATCTGTGTAGATTGTTATTTTTTTTTTCCTCAGTCGCGAAAATTAAGTCACTACTAAATTTATAAATTTATAACCGATAAATTGCGAATAAAATGTATCGCAAATAAAAGTAGATTTACAGTATCTTATATCTTTATTAACTATGTTTCAATATTTTCAATTGTTAGTTTTATATACACGTATATGTTTTTGCAACCACATTATAAAAATATTTTCGAAAAACTCCGTACAGCCATTCCGTGTTAGGATTTATCGATGGCTATGTATTTTGAACACACTTATATGATGGAACCTTGTTAAATCATGGTTCAGTTAAATGCAGTTGCTATGCACAGGTAAATGAAGTGAATGAAATTGAATAACAGCAACTTGCAACCAAAAAGTAATACTAACAGGATGAAACGTATTTTCATTAATCTGACATTAATTATCCCTCTTCATTTACAGATTTGAAATTGAAAAGAAAAATATCACTTAATGTTAGAAAAAGCATTCCTAAGATGTATGTAAGGTAATGTCTTTACTGGTATACGTTGGAAGATATCAAGTTTTGCTGATGTTGTTTTTAAAAGCTAAAACTAAGTCCTATCAATTTATACATTAATTTTAAAATAAGAGAAATTTAGATTTACTTTATACATAGTGCAATATTTCGTTTTTATTGTATTTCTTTTTTTTTTTTTAACCTTTTTCTATTTCATAAATTAGAAAGTTGTAATGATTGTTAAGTAAATCCTCATCTGACCTATTTCATTAAGTGTTATATTCGATATATTAGAAACCAACATCACTCAATTTCTTCCATTCTCAAAATTTACAGAAAAACTATATATATAAGTAGATTTGTTATAAATGTATTATATAAATATATCAATTTAGAACAATTTTGGTCGAAACATCAACAAAAAATGATAGGGTTATCACGGTTCCAAAATTTTCGGGTCGGGTCGTTAATGTAAATTTTCGGTTTAAGTGTTTTCGGTTCGGTTATTTACATGAATTGTAAACCTAAATTTCATGAAATAGACTTGAAAAAACTTTATTTGTTACGTTAAATTAACCTTGAAAACAGGTCTTAAGCATGTAAACGTCTTGACACCAGTGTTCAGGAATACTAGGCCGACTTTTAGATACAACATGACCACTCTTCCTCGTTTTGATAATTATCTAATCCTTTCGTAAGAAATCTTTTGTCATGGAATGAAGTAGATTTCAGTTGTGATGTTTATTTATCACTGTTATCGTCATCGTTCTTTCGATTTCGACGCCAATTTTTGTAAAAATGGATTCTCATATACAAACCAGACCCGAACCACAATCCGGATAAATGTAACGGAAACCGAACCGAACAACTTGGACCGCGGTTTTCGAATATTCTGGAGAACCGTGATAGCCTTAAAATGATATTTGCACTTACTCTTAAAACATGAAAAATATACCTTGTATCACATCTTTGATATCAGATAAACACATATTTATAAATTTCCGGGCGAAGTTAAAAAGAGGTGCCATTCCCCCATCCTCATATTTAGCTTCATCGGCCTTGTAGTCAGGTGAGGAGGGACTTGGCGCGAGGGTGAATCCTCCATTTCCCGCCACTTGTGTGCAATAACACACAATCCAGATGCAGAAACCGAATAAGAAAGCACACAATTTCATCTTCTGGTTAGACCATGTTTAAACTGCCCTTGTTTGACAGCACAAAACTCATATCCTCTCCTAGTGAGAGAAGAGATAAGACACATTGAAAACCCTTTGTCAACACCCTGGATTAGATTAAACCTCTCAATCGATCAAGGAATACTTCCGGATAAGACATTTAATCATTTTCGAAAAAATAAAGACAAAAATTACATTTGATGAGTAAGACAACTAATTTTGGATATACATCGTTTTAAAAGTTGAAATGCTTTTAGAAAACATTCCCTTGAAATTGTAAAAGTAGGATTGCTGCTTAAAGTTTCAATCAGAATTATCAAAGTGACAAGGTTATCAGTTTTGTTTCTGTCTGTGCAAACAGTTCCGAAAGAAGATCAATACAGATTTATACATGAGATATTGCATTCTAGCGATAAAACTGTAATCGTAAAGCAAAGCAAAATGTAATAATTCTAAAGCAAAATGTAACAAACTGAATTCATTACAGTTTGTGTTCTTTCATGTTATATCATATATAAGATGAAATATTGCAAAAAAAAGTATAATCTGTAAGGTTAGTGGGTCAGTACTGAAAAGAAAAATCTATTTCTTATTCTGAACAATTTTAACACAAGAAATCGCTGTCTAAATGTTATAATAACTGACAAATCACAACTGTTTTGATGCAACAGTAAAAGACAGGACCTTACCTTCGTATGGACTACACGCATTTGGTTTCTTTTATGAACTGACAACCAATCCAACAGGCCTATGTGCTACATAACGCACGTGGGCGCCTTCTCGACAAATAATGCGTGGCCTGATATTGCTTCAGAAACTCTGTATCTACACACAGTGGCGTCTGAAATTAATGAGAATGATTATAATCACGTGTCAATATGAAAAATTACATGTATTTGTGATTCTATCCACAATCGAACGGTCATGATTTGAACTGCAGTCTTCCGAATATGGTAATACGCATGTACTATAATTTTTATTTGACTTATTGTGGCCCTAATAATATTGAAATGTAAAGGTAAAGATAACAAATAGTGATCGATCTCAAAAAATCCACAAACAATACAAATATGTGGAGAGGATGTATAACACGGACCCCTGGAAATTCCAGAGGTGGGATCAGGTGGGAGAAAGAATCCCCTGTAGATCGGTCACACCCGCCGTGAGCCCTCTGTATTGATCAGGTAGACGGAGCTATCCGTGGTCAATTCTGTACAAAAACAAAGGCCTAACAATTGGTATTAAACAAGTCAGTCAAAATACAACCCAATGATAGGTTATATTTGCTAACAAGGTCATTATAACGACCATAAAATTTACGAAATGCTGACTTTAAACGAAACTGTTGAAACCCCTGTAACATCAACTTATCAGTGAGTAGCCTGCCTCGCTTTATAGCTTCATCGTACTCAGACCACGCTCTTGAGTAGCAAATAAGTTGGGAGACAAAAACACCATAAGCAGTTGATAGTGGAATTTTACTACATAAATAAGGAAAGTTGACGATAGAAAAACTTCATTCATCTCGTTTGTCATACAATTAAGTTGTTAATAAGCCTTTATCGTCGTCGTATTTGGACAGGAAGTTCCAAAAGTTACCCCCCCCCCCCTTTAGCTGTCCACGAGAAGAAATTTTCAATCAACCAACTATAAAATCCTTGATTTTCAAAAAAGTCGGGTGGCCAGGCTATTAAACTTCATCGACTAATTCGTTTGACCATGTAACACACAAATAAAGTAATTTTGTAGAAGTATATATCGACACAATTTTTTTTTTTTTGAAGACCTTAAACTGAAAAACTATTGTTCATCTTAGCCTTGAAAAATGCCTATTTTTCAATTTAAATTTTTTTTATGAAAAAACCTATAGGTTAATTTTGGAAAAAATACTTTATTTATGTAGCGGGTTGCAAAAATAATCTTCATAATTTTTTGTAATTTTTTTTAACGATCCGTTTTGAATTTAAAGCGGAAAATCACCCAGTCCGCCTTTCTCCCTAAATCACGTTTCTCAAGCGTCTTTCAGACTTGGGAAGATAAAATGCTATGAATCTACAAATACACATAAAGAATTCCAAGTTGGAAAATATCTTTTGTTTTAAAAATGATATTTACATTTAATTTGATCAGAGTTTTCAAATGTAAAGCACATTTAAATGTTGATTTATAGGGATTTACTTTACTACGACCCCCATTTTCCCCCCTTACTTTTTTTGGTGACAGACTATTCGAGCTTGATGAAGCATCGCATACATTGCAAATATATTTAGTCCATCGAATTCCTGAAGTACTAATTTGTTTATTCGTGTATGCATATTAAATATTGACCACTAATTTGTTTTGATTTAAGTTAAACTTACTTAGGATTTTATGTCCACGTATCCCGTAACCGTATACATGTAGTCCACTCAATACGTATGCATTCATATTGCATACCTGGATATGAAATTCAACTGACATTGAAATTTACTTTTATTTAATGAATTTTAATGTCATTTCTTTTTTAAAGTGAACTCACAATGACGAATGATCAACTGCCCTGTGATATAAATGGAATATTTATAGTTTCTTTATATTTTCAAACAAAGGATCCGGAGTGTTTGGGATTACCTCCCCCCCCCCCCCATTGTATGTATACATCAGTTGCTTATTAAGATAAAATGGAAATTTCGTTTTTCCATACATATAAACTTCAATGTATCAAACTTTAAATTCTTAATTCATTTTAAAATGATTCATGTGTACAGTGATATAAAACGTTTTGTTTTGATTCGCATTGATTCCCATGGGTACCAATTGCGCATCGTTATAAGCAGACATATTTTGTATTCATATGCAGCAGAAATCGTTCAAAATTTTTTACGTGAAAAGAAGAAAAAACTTGCTCTGGCCTTAAACTCGACATTTACATATATCGACGACGTATTGTCAATTGACAATGGTTATTTCCATTCTTATGTCGACACGATATATTCCGGTAGGCTTGAGATAAAAGATACCACAGAGTCTGACACATCTGTTTCATATTTGGATATTTTATAAGAAAAAGACGTTGATTGTAATCTAACAAAAAGCTTTATGATAAACGTGATGACTTTAACTTTTCAATCTCCAATTTCCCTTACTTATGCAGCAATATACCCTTATCACTTGCATACGGGGTTTATATCTACCCATCTCTCAGTTGTTTCGATACGCAAGAGCATGCTCTACGTATGAACAATTTCTAAAACGAGGTAAGTTAATTACTGATAAACAAGTTGATGAAACAAGAATACTTTTTTTACTATTTGTTAGGCTATTATTTACATACTAAATTGTCGATGGATTTTCCCGATATTTGCCGATCATGACAAGGAGCACAAGGCGGGTGTGGCCGGACGGCAGGGGATGCTCACTCCTCCATGGCACCTGATCCCACCTCTGATGTCTTAGAGGTCCGAATTTACTCTGTTCGTGTTTTGTAATGTTTAATCGACTTTTGAGCTCGAATACTGTTTGTTATCTCCACATATTTCATTAGAGGAAATGCGAACCGACACTGTTCACAGTGACAGAAGGTCGGTCAGCTTGCAATGAGATATTCATGAATTTAAATAATTTCTGAAAACAATTCCTTTTCACTTTCGATACTTACTTTGTATATATTAAAGTTCCCGAATTCATCAGGTCGGTCTGACTGTAAATGTATCTGAAAAAAAAACCCCACATAATTGTTCGGAAAACAGGAGGAATAACTCAACTAAAGGGGGGGGGGGGACAAACATATCCCACATTTTTAGAGTTGTTTCTCTTTGACCAGTCAGCTTCTGAGAACGGTATCGATAATTACATTGTAAAATATTTTTCCGTTATTTGTTTGTTTGTTTTTTATGTATATGTATATAAGAAGAACAAAGCAATATTTATTTGGTGAATGCATAATTATACGATAGACCTGTAATTGGAATGTTATGTAGTTAACTAGAAGGGGGGAAAACAATGTAACATAAAATTTTTCAGATGAAAATTGTTGTGCATTGATCATGGATACGGTTTACAAAATATGAAATTAAAGAAATTTAAGGGGTGATCTTTCGTTTACTCCTTTTCGTAGAGGGGCTTAATAAAAAAAAAAAATCAATGATAGAATTTGGTACTCATAAAGAAATAACAATCAAGCCCCTAATCTCATTTTTCTGTTTCTACTTTTAATACATAGGGATCATATCGCTTGTCATTTTGACGCTTTATTATTACCGTCAATTTGACGTCACGTTAAACGTTTAAGTGAAATCGCAAGAGTTACCTCCCCCATGTGTTGTACGTCTTTAATATCAACTTCAGAGAACTTTTCTGCACAATCAGAATGTTTTTTTTACGAATTCTGCTGATTAGCAATCACAAGATGTGAAAATTTCAGAGTTCCGTTTTTATTAAAGCAGTTGTCTATGATTTCAAAAAGTATAGATTTTAATTTATCGTGAGGAATTGTTGTAAAAAGTGTAGAAAAAAGGGAATCAGATATTTTCCTATAAATCAGTTTAACGCTATCCCCACATTGAAACGAATAGACTAACCGGTAACTGCACTATTTTTGAGATGCTTTTGGAATTTTGTATTTTCACGTTTGTTCATCTGTTCTAAAGAAATAAAATTTTCAAGCATTGTTCCTATTAAAAAAATTAGAGATGGTATTTGCAAAATGTTTGCTGCTAAAGTGCCTACATACTGCTCTTAAAACGAAGATTTGATAAATAATTTTCTAAAGCAACCCTATTCAATAGTTGGACCGCTATTGTTCCATCGCCTCACAATATAGCCTGGTGGTCAGTGACCCTCAACAACATAAATATATTAACGTAAGGAAAATTGGCATAAGTCCGTCTTCTCTGATCCTAAGGTTTTAAGAAGATTCTTAAACGTTCCTTGTCTAGTCCAATAGTATTTCATATCTTCTCTTGGATAATTAAGGCGCTTGAAATATTTCATTGTAAAACAAAAGATTTGCAAAAAGATTTAGTTCTAAACCCTGCATTTTGGAGAAGTC